ATTCTGTGATTCTATGATTCAGAGCCTATTGGCTGTACAAATTATTTTGCTGATCATTCCAGTTGATGATGCCTTTTTTCTCTCTGTTGATCTGGCTGAGAAAAGATCTGATTTTTCTCACTTCTCATTCATAAAGGCTCCTGATATGCACCAGGAGGATACTGGGTCCTCAGTCCCTGTTGTATCCTATAGCGACTGCACATGTTTGGCTGCGTAATTTGCTAATGCAAACATACCCTAAACCACGTTAATATCCTTTTGTGGCTTGTCAATCTTTAATATAAAACATGTCAGTTCTTAGTATAAAACAGGAGGTCCATCCTGGTTTTCCACTACAGTAACAAAAAAGTGAAGCTTCTTGAGCTAGTCATCTAGTTCCCTATAAGGTAGGGTGACAGTAAAAATATCTTCAAATAGTGGGTGACGATTTTACCCATCAAGAATTTACAAGAGGTTTTCTTGTGTAATACTGCTTCATTTCCATGGCTTGAAAAAGAGTGTGTGTAGGAAGCAGAGTATGCCCATATGCACTGTGGTTTCCAAATATTGTTTTAGGAGAGTACTTGCTAAAAAAGCAGGGAGAAGCCAGATGTCATAGCAAGAGACCTGGGATTTAGGAATTATTCAGAGGATCCATCTGTGATCTGAACATTAAAATCTGCTTGCTAGATTGCTCTGGTCTGGTGCAATTTACTTTCTATGAACCTTGAATCTTACGAGTGTGGACTTCAGGTTATGCCCAGACTGCCAGCCCTTTCTATGTGTCATAGTAGCTGCAGCACAGAGCTCTCCCTGGGGATTAATAACTCTTCGTTGGATCGCTCAGTGTAGAAACCCCAGGAGGCACCATTAAAATTTTCCACAAGAATTACTTCAATGCCTGTAACATATAACTGTGCTTTAGAAATGTACTGCAATGTTTCTTATTGTTACAAAGTAGATTTTCCAAATTAAATCCAAGAAACTGTTAAATGAGCGTTTATTTTTCAGTAAGAGTATGTGGTGTGGAGTTCATTTGAATTAATTGTACTATAGCTGCTCCATATATGATAATGAGACTTTAAAAAGAAAAAGTCCTGCATTTATTTTGGCCATGATTAGTATATTTTTTGCCATCTTGTAAGAAAAAAACCTATTCAGTACGGGTTGGAAATTCCATGCACATGCTTGTCCTGATCTGTAATCGGCTCTTAGATCCAGCCTGTAATGTTGACATTTCATTTGATGATCACCTAGCTGTATCCTAATTCTGCTGGCTTCCCTGTGCCCCATGGAGCTGGCTGGTAGGACAGTCAGAAGCACTAAGAGTTGTCTTAACTTTGCTCTTGTGAGTGAAGGAGTTGTAAAGGTCCAAAAGATATCCCAAGCTATCACTGAAAGACTCCATTCTTCTTCTGAATACTTCTCTATTTTCAGTGAGAACCCAATAAGCCACTACTGATGTATAAAATAAACACCAGAGAAGTTATTCCAGTCTTTTGTCAATGCACTGGCGAAATACTTTTCCAGTCTGTGTTTCAGACCAAAGGAATCCCTGAAGGGAACAAACCCTCTTTTAGCATCTGTATTTAATCTAAGCACGTAAACTTCTGGCAATTAAATATCACTGGTCTGCTGCTGTATGATAGTCTGTTCCCAATAAAAAACATACGTGCTTGCAAAGTTTTCCCCCTCAGTCAGATTGCTGACTGGAGGAGGAATTCAAATCAGTAATAAGCTCAGTCAAGGGCATACTATAATTGTTAAGCACTGAAAGCAGAAATGCCTGAGGAAACCAGGTCAAAGAAGGTATTCTACTAACTAAAGATACAGGGGCAAGGGTATAGGGCCTATCAGTGCATATCATCACATGGTCCTGGGCTGTTGGAGATCCTGGCAGTGGTGCCCATGAACACCGCAGAGCTCAGTGGGTGCTGGCTCTGGGCAGCCTCAGACCCCAGAGCTCGGTGGGTGCTGGCTCTGGGCAGACTCACAGCCAGTATCAGTATCAGCTCTGACAAGCACTGCCAAGGTTCACTTCTAAACTAAGCAACACGGGCATTTGCTTTAATGGTTGTGAGGTTCACACATGAGGTGCACATTTGGGCTGATTGTATAAACAGGGTGATCCCAAGATATTGAGGTAGAAATACAAGAACTACTCCATCTTTGGAGCAGATCATCGCTGCACTGTAGTCAGAATCAGAGTCCTTTCTTGTGCTTGGTAAGAAGACACACCACTGGTTAGGTGTGGGAAGGAATACGTGCACTTGAACTGCTGAGGATATCAAGTGATGCTGTGAGCATAGGTCCCACATAAGCACAGTCACTGGACTTTTAAAAGCAGACAGGTAAGTGTTGGGAGTGTGTGTTGGTGTTGGGGAATGGGGGGGGGGGGGGTGTTCTGTTTTAATTCTAAAAACGTATTTTTAGAATAGCTCTACTGAGTGCATGAAATTGCTGTGGGGTTTACAGTGGTGTTGCAAAGAAGAGACTCTTCATATGTGCTGGTGTTTGCAGTGCCGGATGAAGACACGGACACAAATCTTATGTGCCATTTTATGCAGCATTCAGAGAACATTTAAACAAAGTGTTTAAAGCAAAACTAAGGTGTAACCTTACTTCCTGTGTTGCTTTTTTGGGTATTTTGAGCTCTCAGGTTATTTTATCAACTTTGCTGTATATTGCCTAAGCTTTTGAGACAATGAATTCTTCATTATTGAGGAACAGGTGATAGTGTGCACTTGGAAGTTCAAACTGCGTATTTGGCTTTGTGGTGAAGATTGCAAAATACATGTATATGATGCACAAATGAAGCTCTGAGTATGAGAGGAAAAGTGAATGTGTAAAATAATCCAATAATAGATCGAATGAAATTCACGTTTTTCTTTTTCTTGGATAGTGCATTATGTTATCTGATCTGGTGTGATTCTCCTTGCAGAGGAAGAGAGTAAGAGAATTCAAGGAAGTAAAGAGGATGCCCTAAGAGGAACATTTTCTCCTTCTGAATTATCAAACAAAAATAAAGAGGTTGCCTCACCTGGAAGAAGCAGAGAAGTCTGTGTGTGTCTTCCACAACAGGTGCCAAATGAGAATGAGGTGATGAGTTAACATTTGTCCATGTGGACAAGCACCACATTCAAACAGATGAAAATATGGGGAGATCCACTGTCCAAATGTTAGAGGCTATGGTATTTATCCCATCCAAGGCAAATATTTAAAATACTACCTAAGTGTGTAATGCTTACAGAGGCATCTGCAGGGATCACGTTTGGTAGTGGCATTTGCTCTGCTGAAGAGCTGCTGTAATCTTACTAATAAATAAGGTACCCTGCAAGGACCTTTGTAATGCTGTCACTGAAGACTGCTGTTAACAGTAGAGTTTGGCAAAAGGGAAAACAGTCTTGAGAGTATGGATGCCAGCATGCACAGATTTATTTTGTTTCTTGGGGATTTTAGCAATTACTGAATACTGTGTGTCTGAAGCTAGATTGCTTCAGTTACCTCAAGTAAACAGTAGGCAGGACAGAGACATTTTTAATTTTCTGAAACATAGGAGATTAGGGGTTTAATGTGTAGGGACAAAAAATCAACAGACATCAACTGGAGAGAGTGAGATGGAAATCTGAGTCCTCTGGTTAAGAACAACTGCCCTCCTGCCTGAATAACAAATAACTAAGCTGGAATCTGGCCTGGACTCAAAAATTCCCATCATTAAAGTTTTTCTTAAAAAAGAAGTAGCAGGTCATTTTGTGCAATATGCAGAGTACCACCCCCTTAACTGCCTTCCTTTGATGGGCCTGCCAGGCCTCAAAGAACACAAGCTGTCATATTCCTTCCTGCTAGCACATGCCTTTGAGGTGTAATCAAGCAAGGCTTTTAAAACAATCACATTCTGTCAGTTGATTGTGTAGTAATAAGAATCCTTTCGCCACTTTTCTCATGAAGAATATGTTTGCCTCATTGAGATAGACTGCCTTTGGGTCTCTTTAGCCACTTCGAATTGGATTTCTGCCCCATAAAGCAATGTGCAACTTCCATTATCCTTTATCTAATGCAACATCTTAATACTTTGTTGCTACAGGAAAAAAGTTTCGGGCAGGGCTGCACCTTTTTGTCACATGAGCAGTTTAAGAAACAAATACGGTAGTAGTAGAATGCATCAGAAAAATCACTAGCGTAGTAGCAGGAGGAGGCTGTAATGCAGTAAGTTGGCCACTGTAACCTTGAAGCTTTCCCTCAGAAAAGAAAGAGAGAAAAACTGCTAGTGAAAACAGTGCTTCAGTTCTAAATGCTGCTTTTTAGGCATGCTATGATTACTTGCTCTGTTGTTCCAGTTGATTCAGTCTGGTCCTATGTAGGATTCCACAGGATTACCTGCATACATTCTATTTTCAGGAGCATTGCATGCACTTTAAAAAAGAACTTAAATACACCATAAAGGATCTGTATGTGTAAATCAGAAGGAGCTTTGAGTGTGATATTGGTTATGCTTCTTGCATATAAGTATTTCTGCCTGTCTGTCTACAGACAATGATGAATGAGAGCTGGAAAGCTGGTGACTCTGATGGAAATGATCTCAGTCTGTCTGAAAGAGTGAAGGTGAGGTTTCCTTGATTTTCTTCAAAGTGAGGGTTATAAGTAGGACATGACTAATTTTTGCTTTATTAATTTATGAAATACTTGCAATTTGTTGATGTATGTTTTTCCCATCTTGGGAAAGAAGGTTAGAGCATCACCATCCAAAACTTTTATTAAATGTTAATGAACATGTACCTCTAAAGTGCAAAGGTTATGTAAGTGTTGATGAGAATGGTGTCAAATCAGGTTGGAAAAAATTAGCTAAGAACATTTTAGTTACTTTGTGGAGACACAGAAGACTACCCAGTGCGCATAGTAAATCCTCCAGGGTAACACTATTTGCACATGGGCTGGGAAAGGCCTTCCAATCTCAACCCATGCATCTATTCAGAATGCTACCTGAGATAAGAAATTACTTTTCTTGTGGTAAGTTTTAGATAATTTAAATTGTTTTCAAAGGACATCATCCTGAAAAAACAGTAGTGTAATGTCCTGAGTGAAACACTAAAAATTTAATAGTTTTTAGCTTTTTTGTTTCCCATTCTGTTCACCATTAGTATGGAAACAGAAAGATCAAGCTCTGCTTTGCCTACAGAATGTATTGTCTCCATGCCATATGCAACGATCTTGCAAAACTGCAGGCTAACTCAATATGTATCTTTTTCCTGTGAAAATATTTTACATCTCCATCTTCCCACTAAGTTCCTTAAAAAGTTGCTGTACAGCTTGAGCTTCTTTCCCATCACTAGTGGATATGCAGGAGTTCTGGCAGCAATTGCTTGCCTGTACGTAAAAGTATGTCCTTTGGATTACACATTCCAAAGAAAACTCATCTGCTTTCTTGGAAAAATGTAGGAGAGAATGGAGGAGATGAAGAAGACATCTTTTTTGCTTTGCTTTTTTGCTTTGCTCTAGATTGCATTATAAGAAATGGAATTAATACGTTTTAATCTATTTTCCGATTTGCCTTTTTTTTTATGGCAGGTGGATGAGTACTTAGATTTGGAAGATATAGACACAGATGAAGAGGCATGCAGTGGTAGGTTTTGCCTTCTTTCATATTCACTGTCATTGTCTGTCTTTGGATGCAACGGTATGGACATTGTTTAAAAAAACTTTTCTCCTCTAAAAAAGGTACTATTCCTCAGTTGTTTTACTGCTACAATAATCCCCAAATTGCCCAAGTTTGCCAAATTTAAGTACTCAATTCCTCACTCTAGGAGGTAATGAGATAATAAACGATAAGGAATATTGTGTCCTCGTGAGCATTTTTTTTTCAAGATATTTCAGGATTTCGTAACACTTCTTGTTAGCAACAGTTCTACGTTCTTCTGCACTTCTGTTTTCATTGAAATTATTTTGATTACAAAAGTTCCTCCACAAAGTAATGTTGGCTCTAAGAGAGAGTTCTATAAAGTGGAAATATTTAATGATGATGTTGTCCCTGCCTATTAAAATGATTTTATCCTGGGCTTAAAATAGATGAGGCTAATTTTGAATTCACAGTGAACATCTGTAAGAATTCTATTTATGAGCATTTTGAATTGTGTTGAACTGTTTCATACATCCATAATAATTTTAACTCTCCCACCTCTAAAAAGTATGTATCTATATATCTGTGTGTACAAGAGTGAATGTTAATCACACGTGTTTAGAAACCCCTAGTAAAACAGACTGCATCTAAACAAGACGAGAATTACAAAGTGATCATCTGCTTGTACTGTCTGAATAGCACTTTATGCAGCCCTCACTGGGAAAACCTTTCAGTTAGTGCTTTTATTGGTGATTATAAAAATAATAAACATACATTGTGTTTTAACCTGGCAGGCGGCTAAACACCACACAGCCGTTTGCTTACTGCCCTGCAGTGGGATGGGGGAGAGAAGTGGGGAAAAAACCCATAAAACTTGTGGATTGAGATGAAGACAGCTTAATAGGACATAAGAGGAAATAATAATAATAATGATAAAGAAAAAAAGTGGTGCACAGTGCAATTGCTGACCAATGCCCAGCCAGTCCCTGAGCAGCGACCACCACCTTCGACCAAGTCCCCCCATTTATATGTTCATTATGACCTCATATGGAATCGAATATCCGTTTGCACAATTTGGGTCAGCTGTCCTGGCTGTGTCCTCTCCCAGCTTCTTGTGCACCCCCAGCCTTCTCACTGGCTGGGCCGTATGAGAAGCTGGAAAGTGCTTGACTTACTGTAAGTACTGCTCAGCAACAACTAAAACATCAGTTATCCACATTATTCTCATCCCAAATCTAAAACACACTACTATAGCAGCTAGTATGAAGAAAATTTACTCTACTCCATCTGAAACCAGGACAACATAACATTATATCACTACTACTGCAGATTATAAGTGTTTTACTTGCTTTTTACATGATTTTTGATTTGGCTTTCAACCTTTGCTCTCCTCAGCTCTTCCCATGAGACCGCACTCCCTGCACAAGCTCCCTGCACAGGCTGCATCAGTGTAGAAAGCAGCTATGTGAAGCCCTGAGCAATCAGCGGTTCTCACTAACAACATTAAGCATTTAGACTGTATTTTTTAACATTGAAACACCATATAGCCAGAAGCTAGTTATGCCTTCTAAACTCTGTAAGGGAAGTGAACAGCATCTGAATTTATATCTGGGAAGCCCACAGCCTGGGTCATGCCCAGGGCTTCTTCAGTAAAGACAGGTGTTGAGTCAAGATGAAAAATTTCCTCTTGACTCCTAAGTGCAGAAAATAGGACTTAGAGTTTGATAGTTGTCTTACATGTCAAAATCCACTTTGAAAGGCTTCTTACTGAGGGAGATAAAATCTTACTCTTCTAGAAACCTTAACAACAAAATACAAATAAAAATATAAAATGATGTCGCTTCTATTTTTTGTAATAATAAATGAATATAAAATAGTATCCCTATTGAACACCTTAATAAAGGATCATTCCTGCAGAATTGCAGTTAGTTTATAGGTGAGGCAAAGTGTGACAAAAATTTGAAAGGCATTCTGTTGCTGGCCTTTTCAAATGCTGCCACCTGTATGTCAGAAGAAGTGATAGATTTAAGACTTCATGTTGGCAAAACAAGTTAGGATACCCAGTGAAAAACAGCATGCCTTGCTAGTATAATTACGACAAGTTTTTATCTCTACTTCTTGTTGGCAGCAGTTCAGTATCTCCATACTTATTTAGCTTTAAAGGTCAGATCAGTTAGCTGAGTTAGCAACTGTACATTAATACAATAAATATTCACACTTAAGGGGAAGTGGTTCCAAGTTGACAGTGTGAAAAGTATCTTAGAAAATAGGTGTTAAAACATCCCATTTAAAACAATGCTTTTTGGGGCTTGTCTTGAAAGAATCATTCTAGTGGGTTTATTTTTTCTCCTTTTTTTTCCCCCCCCCAAATTTTTTTCCTAAGTCTAGTGTCTTTTAAGGTGTGAATTAATATACAACTGCTGCTTACAAAAATAAATCAGCCCATAGATTTGGCCAGTATGCAAATTCATTGTAGCTGTTTTCATTAGACAGCACTGGGCTGAAAGCCTGAAACGAGGGCAGTGCTCTGCATTGTAGGACGTTGGTATAGTAAACCATAATTGGCAAAGAAAATTGCTGCCCTAAGTCGTAGCTTTAATGCATCGTATAGAGACAGCATGGGTATGGTGGGCTGTTTAATCGCTCTTTCTCACTGAATTTAATCCGTAACTGTAAGTAGCTTAAGGCAACAATAGAGATGATCAGACTTTCTCCAGGGACAGATGAAAAATGTCTAGTACCTATGTTTTGGCAACAGAATTCCTTTCCAGGACTAGTGGCAAATCCCTTGCTGCAGAGCTCGAAGGGTGGTTAGGTAATAATAGGTAATATCTGTATAGCGTACAAAATATGTAAGAAGCATGTCTAGAGACCTTGAGTGTGTTATTTTTTAAATACAAGAGAAAATTAAAATAGGACTAATTAAATGTATGGATGAGTCTGCATAGGCAAGGTTATGACAGTCTCATCCTAATCTGGTTTGGAGCCCTGAGGTACTGTAAACCTGTCTTTTCAAGGTCCCAGTACTCCGTAACATCACAGAGGCTGGGGAGAACCCAAGTGATTCAGTTACTTTGAAGCTGAGGCCAAGGCTAACTATATGATTATTTAAATAATTCTTTAGGCAGATTATATCAATATCTCTTATTTTCCGTAATCTGTGATTTTCCATTTATATTCTGAGTCTCTATTCATGTCCAGAAAAATCTGGTTGAGGAAGAGGATTCAGAATTAAATTATATGGATTTTTTTTCAAGTATGGGGCTCCCCCTGACTGGTGTACCTCTTTCTTTCTCCTCCAGTCTCTACAATCCATTTAACACTGCCTTGAGATGATTTCACTCTGGGTAGCTCTTTGGGGCTAACAGCCTGAAGCCTGAGAATCAGGAGACAGCAAAATTTAGCTTTTAAGCTATTTTTGTTATTGTTACCTCCCTCCTCAGCTCTCCATCAACAGCATTTTTGTGAAATGTAGTGTCTGAAAGTGGTAAAACCTGCGTCACTTTTATCTGTAGCTGGGCATCATTTGGCAACAGTACAGCTAAAAGATAGAGACAAGACTTGGAAATTCTTCATTCTTGAAAGTTCAAATCATGTTTGTGCCAATAGATTCTTTTTTTTGTATACTTATAATTAGTGTCAGTGATACACACTGAGTAAGAAAACTCCAACCACAGATTTAGTAGCCACTTTCTGTGGGTCTATCATGTGGGGGTGGGAAGGACTAAAGAGAAGAGAATTGCTCCGTTTCCAAATACACCCTCCTTAAAGTGTGCTGGACCTGAGTGGAATCCAGCAAGTGATTCTTCATGGTATGAGGAGAGGTACACTTCAAAATCTCTTCTCAGATTTTGGTATCACTGCCTGCTGAGTTATCTCTGTATACGGTGCTGTTGGCAGTATTCAAAGCTTTGCTGTTGCTAATTAATCACCTCCACAGAGAACACAATTAGCAGCTTAATTAGAGTCATCATCCACTAGTACTGTAGCATGAGCCTAAACCAGCTGTGAGGTACTGGCTAGAACTTACAATAGCCTACAGTTCCTTTGGGAGCTTCCACAGAGAAGGAGAACTGTCAAAACTCCCTGATTTTTCTCTCTGATGGAGTTTCTTGATTAAACATTATCAGGGAAAGCAACATTTACCGATTAGACTTTCATACGCTGTCATGCGGCTAGGAGAGAGAGACAAAGCTAATTTCTGGCATGTCTACTGGCAAAGAAAGGTTGATTACCAGATTCTTATGGGGTGATTGAAAGGGCTTTGAAACGTTGTTTACATTACTAAAAAGCCTTAAAATAGTGTAATTGACATTCTGAGTATGACAAGCACTTCTTGAAAAGCAAAAAAAATTTGTCTGGATGGTCGCACTCAAAGAGTTCTCATCAATGACTCTATGTCCCAGTGGAGACCAGTGACGAGCGGCGTTCTTCAGGGGTTCGTACTAGAACTGTCTCTGTTCAACATCTTTGCCAGTGACATGGAGAGTGACTTTGAGTGCACTGTCAGCAAGTTTGCTGATGACACCAAGCTGTGTGGTGCAGTTGACACGCTGGAGGGAAGGGATGCCATCCAGGGGGACCTTGACAGGCTGGAGAGGTGGGCTGGTGTGAACCTCATGAAGTCCAAGGTCCTGCACATGGGAAGGGGCAATCCCAAGCACAAGTACAGGCTGGGCGGAGAATGGATTGAGAACAGCCTGGGGTAATGGGTTTAAATTGAAAGTGGGTAGATTTAGATTGGATGTCAGGAAACAATTCTTCACAGAGAGGGTGGTGAGGCACTGGAACAGGTTGCCCAGAGAAGCTGTGGATGCCCCATCGCTGGAAGTGTTCAAGGCCAGGCTGGACGAGGCTTTGAGCAACCTGGTCTAGTGGAAGGTGTCCCTGCCCATGGCAGGGGGGTTGGAACTGGATGGTCTTTAAGCTCCCTTCCAACCTAAACCATCCCGTGATTGTATGATCTATGTACCCTCTTATTGGTTCCACTGACAAATGTTTAAGCAACACTGTGAAAGTTTTTTCTGAGATCTCAAGAAGAAATCAAGCCACTCAAATGAAGTTTATAGCTGTAAAGAAACTTGTGGATCCGCCAGAAAAAATAGTAGGTAGATTTACATAATCCTTCAACTAAATTGCAAGACATATGTTCCCCTTAAGTTCCTTATAACAACATTACTGAGACAAGATGGTCACATCTGTGCTGTAGCAGAGCTGAGATTTATTCATGTTAGAAGATATTTCTAAACCTAAGGCATATCCTTCTGAGCTGTCACAGAAAGCAAACTCACTGTTCCCAATATGAATGTTTTGCTTAAGTATGTAAAGGAAAAGTGATTCAGAAAGTCTGTGCATTTGTGAACTGTAGACCAAATCCTGCCTGTGTGGGAAGGTTGTGTGTTGCTGTGTCCCAGATATAGGGAAGTCTTCTCAAGTACCTCTTTTTAGAAAGCTCAAGGAAGAACAAACATCCATGAAATATCCTTGGACAAGAGAGTCATCTAGCACTGTAGTGGGAAATACTAGAACTTCTATGAGGTATTTTTACTTAATGTTTTGGGAGAGTCATGTTAAGATGCTTTGCAAAGGTTCTGTATGCCCAGCATACACGTGGTGAAACTTGAGCAAAAGAGAATTGAATGAGATTGCCTAGCTAATCAATGGAAACACCAGAATTCAGGCTGGGATTTTATAACTCCTACTGAAGACATCTCTGCTCAGTCCTTCCTTCTTTGTTATGAAAGAGATTAATTTAACCCCAAGTGTTCTCTGAGTTTAGGAGCAGTTTTTTAATTAATTGTCCTCAAGAAAGAAGAGCTATCTGTCTTTTTTCAACCAAGTTTGATTTCTCTACATATAGTATATTTTCTGATCTCGATTTTAGCATAGGCCTGCATGGATCTGTTTTATAGATAGCTGTCTATGTTATATGTTATGCAGCAATAAGTACAGCACACTAACAAGCTTCTGCCTGTGCCTGAGCCCTACAGGATTTTACACAGGATTTTGCTAATTTATGTGTTGAATGGAAGCTTAAAGTTGACTATTTTTTATTCAGCAGGGTCATTAGTTCTCCCAGGAGAGGTGGAACAGACAGTTACTTATCGTACATCCTATTTTGATAAGCCTGTTCAACTGAAGTTCAGAACCTTGTCAGTTCCACAGCCTTCAGACAACAAAGCCCAAGAGGTATGAGATCAGATTTATTTATTTAAACACTGGGGATTTGGAGTAGGTTTGGTTGGGTGTTTTTTTTTTTTTTTACACCTATTGGTTTCTAATGTTATTTCCCCAAGAACAGAAGAATATAGATGGAGTGTGTGGCACTGCTATGAGTTAACAAATAACATTATTAATTTTTAAATTAATCATGAGTTCCTCAATACATTAAGAATGGAGATAAACTTTCTAATATAAAGGTACTATTTTGTCTTGCACACTGCTATTGTATAATCCTACATTTTCAAAATGTGTACTTCAGTACTTCAAAGTGTGTGGAGGCTTTTAAATATTTAATTGGTGTAACTCACAGAATATTCATGTAAACTCTTGCACTTCCTGACCTTTTAAGAAACCATTATTTATATAGAATGATGGGCCATTTAATTTTCCAGTGATCTCATGGTCTTACAACATCCTGCAGTTCTATTGGGCTAAATATAGGAACCATCTTCTGCAACAAGGAGGTAGTGAATGATCCCTTTAATGTGACATTTAAAAGAAAAGAATGTTTTAGAATATGTTTTGATCAGAATTGGGATTTGTTCTCTTGGAAATGAGTAGTAGCGAGATGCTGCTGAGGATCTGTATTGTCTAGGTCTGCTGTGGAGAGGTTTGCATTTTGGAGTCCGAGTCTTTTAATCAGACACAATCAATACAAGGCTTAATTTGTAATTGCCATTTTCCCTCAGAATTTAAGTTCTTTTCAAACTGGAACAGGAGGTGTGGCTGCTCAAAGGCTTATTTTAAGTCGTTAAGCTTCCTATCCAAATAGTGTGAGCATTAACTTCTGGGGATGTTTCTATTGCAGAGAAAACTTCACCACTCTTTTCCCTTGCCTGATCACTGTAATAGAAGCTGAAGTTAGCTTCTGGCTAAAATGGGCCAGTTTTGATAGTGTCATATGCCTATTGATGTCCCATGAGGCTTAAATCAAGTTCATAAATGACAAATGACCGATGAAGGTTGTATAGCAGTGCACATGGTGCCTCCTTTCCTGAGCTCAGTTGTGTTTAGTTCTTTGCAATAAGCTCTTCACTACAAGGAACAAGTCTGATCTGGAAAACAGTAAATGCTCTAAAATGACCTTTCAAGCTTTAATACCCACCATTCTGTGAATAAAAATACTATTTTCCAGAAGGATTGACATAATTCAAGGTTTTTGCCTTGAGAAATACCCATTGGCACACAAAAAATCCCTAGAATGAGGTTTTATAGTTTTCTCATTTGATAACTCCTGTATAAAAATCAAAGAAGGAGGAGGGTTGTAGCCGCCTGCAGTGTTCATAAAGGATTGCATATGGCTCTTTAAACTATAATACATGAAAAATAGATGAAGATCCCAGTGCATGCAAAATTTATTTCCATTTGAGGAAAAGTTGGGTTATGAAAGAGAAACTGAGTATTATTACATTGGTTAAGGGTTGCTGCATTTTTCAGGAAGAAAGACTACAATTTTCACAACTGTTTGGTTGGTGCCAGGATACTCAAGATGAAGGCAGTCTTTCCCTTAAGTTATATACATGTTTGTGCCTTCATTTAGACAATGTAACTGTGGCCTGATTTTTAAAACTGTCAGGACTGAACAGGCCTATTTTAAAATCCCTCAGTGCTTCAAATTGTCATTGACTTTAAAATTAAGTCTTGCATTGCTCATGACAGGACTGGTTTAGAAAGAGAAAAAGATTTTCCTTGGAGATATCCCTGCTTTGAAAAGAGACTGTTCTCTGTGCATTAAAACAAATCTGTTAGGGAAGGGCAACAGAATGTGGCTGCCTAGTCGGTTTTCATACAGAATAGAAAACTACTCCCTGTGAAAAGTCAAAAAGCTTAGTAGTGCAATGTAGAATGCCAGTTGTCTATGCTATGGACATGTTTGTGAAGGACTTCAGGGGAAGGTATGTGTCTCTGAACATATTGCTAAGGAAAATTTAGAAAAAGAACGTCTGCTAAGATCTGGGGTATAACTTGGCTAATTGTTAAAGAACAACTTGTGTCCCTGAAAATGTTTTTCTGTCAAAAGCTGCTGGGAAGAGGCTTAAGGAATGACACAGCAAAATATTTCTATTGTCTACCAATGTTGCTTCATCTTTTTTCCCTGGTTTTAGACATAAATATATTCCTGGATTTCAGTATTGGCTGTGCAGCATACATGACCTCCCACAGGCCACTTGCACATTGGAACAGCATTCACTCCATGGTTGAAGTACATTATCATAGAACATTTACCTTCTCTACCCAGATATTTATTGTCTCCTTTATTTCTACTTAATACTTTCTTTCATAGAAGATGTCATAGATTTTTTTTTAATTAACAGTATGTCTTAAAGTCTGCTTCCAAGGGTCTTTATTTGTTCTTATTTCTCCTCCTGCATACATGTGAGTGCAGCTGAATGCATGTTTTCTATCTACTCACCATAAACATCCAGTGAAAGTGGGGTTCATCACACCCAACTTCAGCTTTAAATTTAGTCTGATTTAGTCCTTCTGCCATCAAGAGGAGGAGATAAGCACCTCCAGAAAGTGATTCTTCCCATGTACTGTAATACATCTTTGTCCACAGGCTGGCTCTCAGGCTGGGTCCTTTTTGGCCAATTGACTACCTTAATCTAGAAGCCTAATTTTTCTAGCGCTGGGATTAGGAAAGGTGAATTCTACCCTTCTATCCTCCTTTGTTTGTCTTTAGTGTGAGCATTCAGAAAAGTACTTACCATGTCTATCATTTCATCTTTATCTGTGGAATAGCAGCATCTATCACCTAAAGTGCGGCTCCCATTGAGTTCCTTTGGTTTAAGGTTTTACTGATAGACCTCAGCTGGGGTTTGTTCCTGCTAAGTGCTATGCAGAAATGCAACAAGAACAAGGAAGAACGTAAAGACAGGAGTGACTAAGTGAAAGAAGTTGGAAGAGGCACATCTCAGAGACCAGTAAAGACATGGAGATGGAGTGACTTGTCCAGAATGATGAAGCAGAAATGGCAAATAGGTCAACATTTATTGACTTCCAATCCAGTTCCCCAAGCTCAAGACAAATTTTTTTTTCTTCCCAAGTACCCCAGTTTATAGTAATTTTATATGAGATAATAGCATACATGCCTTCTCCCAGCCTTTTTATTTATTGTTAATAAACTACTCATTTTTCCCTGGAGTATACAATGAAACCATGGATGAGTGTATGTGCATCCTTTAGATAATTTGGACAAGTGAATCAGAGTGCCATAATTACACAGAAATAAGGTTTTAGAATGACACAGACAAGCTGTTCAGTTAACTGTGACTCCACACAGATTAATAAAAAGAACTGAGTTGCCAATTATTAATAGACTTTTGAAAGTCTCAACTTTTAAGGTATTTTATATACAACATTACTTTGTAAAACAGCCTCTAGCAAAATACTTCAGTTATTAATATGAATATTACATTATTTTCCCCTTTAATTTGGACATGGAGGAACTGTAAATGAAAATGATTTTTTCTTCAGAGAATAAATCACAGGAGCAATCTTAAGAAAACTGGCAGTTTTCTAATAGCGCAAAATTCTATTCCCAGAGACCTCTCAAAAAGATTTCAATTAGATGTTAAATTAGACACCTGAAATTCACATATTTCTCTCAGCTCCTTAGGCAAAAATAACAAGATAATAACTTGATCGGCTCAGAGGATTCAGTGTTCTATTGCAAAATGTCTTCCTTTTGAAATAGATCAAAATTGCAGTTTGCAGTATAAAAATTTTAGACTGCTTGTCTGTGTGGAAGGTTGAAGTGAATGGCTTCTTGGGAGAAGCAGCAAAAAAAGAATCCCTAGTGCTTTGAGTACTCATTTGAGAGATAAAGCATGCTGATAAATATGCAATGTGAATAAACTTTTCAAATATGTCATGAGCGGGTAACAAAAATTGTTAGCATTGAAGTCGGTTATGTTGCACTTCGGCATCTAATTTTAGTTAGTGTTTTGGGGTTGAGTTTTTTGAACATAAGTTTTTCCAGTGTTTCTTTACATCTGCATAAAATGTTCCTGGAATAACGTGAAGATCAGCACAAGGGCATCGCAAATGTGTGTATAGTTTCCATAACTATGTTGGCAGAGGAAGAATAGATGTGTTTTGGTAGAATCCCTGTGAAGGCTTACTGAAGTTTAAACTCTTCTTACCTTAGTTACCTATAGCTGTGGTAAGAAATAGTCAGAACCAAACTAACTGAAATACATTTGCACCTTGCATCATATTATAGAATAGTGTTTTGGATTTCCACAAAGGAAAACCAGGTAGTAATGAACCCCAGTTGATGGCACCAGTTGTTACCCAGTTGCTGGTACCCTTACTGGCATGGAATTTTAGGAGGATCTGCCTGCAGAAAAGATGAAACTGGACACAAATATGGTGAGGAGGTGAAGGAGTTGATCTTAGCTTTAATGGGAAAGAGAGCTTGTGTGCAAGCTTTGTCTCATGTAAACATTCCTTGAATATGCTGCTTATGAAAGTTAACGATGGTTTACCTGGGATAGTCTGTGGGCATAAGCAAGATAGTCTTTGCATGCAGAATAAATACTATTTTCTAGACCAACTATCTACAGAGTTTCTTTTTCTCATTTACAAATGCCCATGGTCTGCAGGTCTGCATCTAGGATGATGTATATGCTCCAGCATCTCTTGAATCCAGTGTAAGCCAGAACAAATAAAATTACACAACCCAGCAAAAATATTTCCTGATCAATCACGCAGTATTACAGTTTATTAATAAAGGATGTGGATACTTGGCAAGTTACTCGCTGCCATGTCTGTCATGTGCCTGGCCACCACAGAGGAATCCAGCTGCCACTTCTCTGACTTCCTAGATGGTATTAACTGTGTCAAGGCAGCTGCTTATAAAATGTTACCAAAAATTGGGTGGGATACTGTAATTTCTAAATCCATCAGTGACCATAAGATGCTGAGTGTTCTTCCTCTCAGCAAAACAAATACATGTATTCTTAACTTCTGATATGTCAGTAGTCATTGACTTTATTGAGGATTCATCGGAAGTTTGAAAAAATAAGCATTTTTTTAAATGTTCTGCTGATTAAGTACTGAAGTACTTAAGTCTTTGAAACACAGAGCCCTTAGGAGATGTGCTATTTGTCATGGCTGAAATTTCAGAAAGGATAGGGAGCGTTCCTGTACAGTTTGGGCAGTGAGGATGTCTCTCCTGTGTAGTGCTGGAATTCATTTTCTGTAACTGCTTACCATAAACATTTTGTGTCATGGCCCTCTGCTGTTCCTTGTCAGTGTACAGCCTGCCATAGTTACTTGTTTTCATTATTTTATTTTATAGGCAGAGCGTTTATTCTAGGATAATTAAATGAGAAGCAATACAGAAATGGTATACACTATGTCAACAAAGCAAATATTGGCAAATGCAGTAAGACTCTGTGTTTATCATGCAAGAAATCCAAACCAGGCAGTTGCATGTCTCTTAGTTGGTGAAAAGAAATTATTAAGAGTCTGAAAATTGATTAGGTATCATTTTGCTTATTTCCTTTGCTGAAACTGTGTTCTGGGAAGCATGTTACATTAGTATCTGATACATGTACACTGAAGTTTTATGTGACACTAGCCCAAAATTTAAAGAATCATAGAATTTGTCTTTGAAATTTAACATATCTGTACGAAACTTGTCCATATCCCCACACCCTGCTGCTGCAAATGACAGGAATGTAATAGATGTGTGCAGAAGAGGTTTTTAGATTCCTTGCCTTGAGCAAAATTAGCTAATGATATTCATTCAGATACAGTACAGTACAAATGGGGCACATTAAATGGCTTAAATTAGGTCAAATTGAATAATTGAATTTATTCTTTTACTTAAAAAGAGGTTAATCATCTGAGAGTGCTAGAGTCAGAAAAAATAGTTTAATTAAATATTAATTAGAAGTTTATATTTTGAGCTCCCTTATCATCACTTGCAGCAATGTTATTTATGCATCTGTTTTTCCTCATTACAGCTACTAGGGGATGATGTTCAACCATTCTCTCTTGATGAAGAATTTGATTATGACAATGTGGCACTGACCCCTAAGTTCTCTGAAGCTGAGCTGAAGGCCCTCATAGAATTGTCTGAAGAGAAGAAAACAGGGACAAATGTCAAGTCAGCATGAGCTGAAGACTGATTCAAAGGCATTCTACGCAGTGCTGTTGAAATAACATTTTTAGGGGGTAAATTTAGCATTGCACCATTATTTAGTGTTTTATCTGTGTGTCCAATAAATGACATCCTTGAGATTCCTTTGTTCTACTAAGGTGCTTTGGAGCCTGAGGTTGGCTTTTCCAGAATGTCCTCCTAGTCCTAATTAAAACACAGAATAGGAAAATGATGCTTGCCCAGAGTTGCTTGTATAGTAGCCCTTCACACAGAGAGGAAGTATGTCCATCCTTTTTATATGTCTGTACACTGATCTGCTTAGGCATTCAGGTTGGCAAAGGAGGTCAGTGTTTGTCCCTTAACCCAATGGGATTTTTGTATAGCTCAGTGACCTGTAATATTTTTAGGCCCCACTGCTCAGCTACTTTGTTGTTTTCCAGGTGGTACATAGGACCAAACCAAGCTGGTGGAATGGCCAAATGGCTACTGTGTCTGCTGTGGCTTATATGTGATACTGACTCAGTTCCTGATTAACACAAAGCTAGTCCTAATGTTGCATTTTACCTAGTTCTTTCAGTAATGCAAATAAGAGCTTTTTGCAGCTGACAAATCAGTCTATGAACTCTTTCACTTAAATATATGGAGTTATGTGAGTGAATAAATCTGGGAATATGTGGGTTTTTTTGTCTGCTTTTGAGTTACTTTAGTTTTGAAGAGAAATAAATATTCTTGTTTTCAATAAACCTTTTGAGTTGATCAAAATTGACATGGTGCAGCTCCTAACAATTAAAATGTGAACTGCTACAAAAAGCCTTCCACAAGGAGGAAAAAATAACAATCTCATCCATTAAAGGAATTGGCATTGAAAGGCTGTCAGATTTTACATTTTTTACAGGGCATGATTCCAAATACCAGCCTATGGTTTTCACTCAACATCACTAAAATATAGCGAACTCTGGAGCTGAGTGAAGGTCAGGCAAGTATGTGCTGGAGAGAACAGCGTGCATCTCTTACACAAAGTAGTATGTACTCTTGCTATGAAGTGTTTAGAATTCTTTTTTTCAGCTTACTGTAGAAGCTTTGCTACTGGGGCTTGGTTTACTGTCCCAACACTGAATTGATTATATTATCGGTCATCTTCTTGTATAACTGCATTAGCTGAAGTTTATTGACCAACATTTTGTCCTTGGCCTATCTCCGTTATTTCTGAAGTGGGTGATTAACATGATGAATATGGGAAGAGTGCCTGAGCAGACAGACTAGAGACTAAACCACAGACTGTTTGTAAAGGTTCTGGATGAAGTCCCTGTGGCCAGTTGGCTGCTTCACTGTCGGCAATTTATAAAAGCAAACAAAGGTGCTTTGGCATTCCAAAGGAAATTTTCTGGATCAGTCATTTTGTGGACCATAATCACACACCATTGAAATCTGAATAATGTTAGTTTTGAGGAATGGTATTTACCTCGGGCAGGGCGCGGGGAAGGTGGGGGTGGGGGTGTGGAATATAATTTAAGAATGAGGAGTGAGATTTAAGAAAAAATGAAGATAAAAGTGGTCTCAGATAGGATGTTTAAGGAGAGTGATATAAAACTAGAATTTGTGTAGAAAAACTGGTCTGTATAGTACCTTGCTGGTAAGAAGGTAATGAGAAATTTATTTTCAACATCTACACTCAAAAGGATGCCTGTACTGTAGTTAAAACACTTTTTGGTGTAATTTGCTTTATAGCAGATTCTGCTGTTGTTTGGGAAAGATTTTTTTTTTAAGTGAATTCATTTGAATTCAGTAGTGTTCTGATGAACCCAGGGTATTTTGAATGAAATTCTTCAGATTCAACTGGAATTTTCCAGTGAAACATTCAGCTAAAAATTCTTAAGCAGTTCTAATGGTTAATTCATCTTCTTCTGGAAGACACAGATACTGTGTGTAACTGGGAGGGTTAAGAAGTAAGTTCTGGAAGGGCTCCATGAGCAGATCTGGCAGAAAAAAATTGGGAATTGCTGTACAAAGTTAGCAAGGTCAGCCTTTAAAACCCTCAGCAGAAAAATAAGGGAGACAACATCATTAACATGTGTATGTATAGCAAAGATAAAGTAAGGAATCTTCAGTCTAAGAGACCTCTTACAGAGTAAGGCTCTGTGCAGTTTGCTGTCCTGAAGACAAAGAATCAACCATAAATAAAGGTGGACTTTTGTGGATTTGTAGGCTGATAAATTTGTCACTTTGTGTGGTGTTTTTTTAGAAAGTTATGAGACACGCAAACTATAGATCAGTCCTGTTGGAATCCTGTTGCCAGTAGAGTCAATTGGAAAACTGTCTAGGGATTCATAATGATCTTCAGGCCCAATCAGCTCTGGAATCTCTTAAGTGCATTTTCTATTCATTTCATTAGCATTTTTTCCCTGTATATTAGGGGTACATCCAGCCATTCAGTTCCTTCTCCCATAGGCAAATGATTCTCTTACCAAATGTTCAGAGTACCTATTAGGCTCCGTAAGTGTCATTCAGTATAGTTATTATATGGTTCTGTTTGATATAAAGAAACACTTTGCTGCTGAATACCCAACAACATTGGAACTCTACTGACATCCATCTTATGCAGAGAAATGGGGATAATTCACTTCCATTTACACCACTCATGAGTTAGATTTTTGCTCTGTTAACAGACATGAATATCACAGTGGAGATTAGGCAATGTAGGCTACATTTTCTGAACATGACATTTTATTGGCCTGCCCCTGTGGTTGTTTTTGGCTTCTGTCTTTCATGTGATTATCCTTCAGAGAGAAGGCATATTTTCCTCTTCTCCATTACCAGGTTGTCATTTTTAAGAACATGCTTTATGTGCATGTTAAATTTTATACACGCACATGGAGTTAGTTACCTGGAATTGTTTCAGTGTTTGCGAGGTGGTTTGGAGTCTGAATAATATATATTTTCCTCTTGTAGCTTGTATTCTCCTTAATATTTAATATTTTCAGCAAGGGTTGGTGAGGGACGTTCTCCTTTTTGATTTATGGTCTTTTCTAAACATTTTTCCTGTTTTTCAGAAGAACTATAGGCAAAACTCATGCATAGAACAGGAAACTGGATGCTACTTGGAATCGTCTTAGGGGCTGCTGCAATAGGGAATAGTAGAAAATAGAATTTTCTCCCTGCCACACTGACAGGTATTTGGTACTGCAGAATCTCTGTGGTTGGGTGAACCCATTGTAAGTGAAGGTGGTGTGATGCGTTTCTATTCCCTCTGTATTCGTGACTTCATTGATGTCTGAAGTGCAATAGTGATATGTGTCCATATCAGTTAGTGAGCTTACCTGTATTAAATTTGTGGCTTATTTGGGTGTAACCAGAAGGATACGGACTGCCTCTTTCCACAGTCTTGATGGATCATGAGTTATGGGGAGGAATTGCTTGAGTTTTATGGGAATTGTAGTAGTCCTTCCGCTGAGGCAGGAATCTGAAGGGTTGTTTCCTTGCTGGCTGTGGTGCACACTTGGATATTATTATATTATTATATTATATTCCCTATCTTCCAACCCTAACCATTCTATGATTCTATGATTCTAATGCTCAGAGTTATTCTTTGTGGGTCTAAAAGGAAGAGTAATTATTTGCTGACATAATGGTTGTGAAAGAATAAGATTGAAGAGGTGCAGACAATTTGTCTGACTCAGACATTGTTGTGGTTCTAAATATATTATTGTTAATGCACAAAGGTATCATTATATACACTTGTATACACAGAGTGCCACTGAAAGAAAGTAATTTTAGGATGGAAAGTACTCACCAGATAGTGCAGAACCTTTTCAAGAATATGGCATGAGAACAAATCCCTGCTCTTACGGGAAAGACCCTTTGATCCTCTGGCCTTGATTTTGTGCTGCTATAAACTGGCAGGACTCAGCTGAGGCCATTTGTATTCATACAGAGGAGACAGAACCCTGGTATTTACAGTCTTAGCTGAAAGAATACAGAGCCACATCAATTCCTGATTTAACTTTACTGAATGTATAACTCTGTCTGTGACCCGTTGTGGTTACGGGAAAATATTTAAATGCAGAGCCAATGCAAGTGAAATGTAAAAACTGTATCTAATTTTACACAGGTCATTTTGGAGTTTCTGTAGTGGTGTGTGCTTAGAGCACTGCTTTTTGCTTTAGCAAAAATACCACATATGTCTTCAACTCCTGTTTGAATCACGAAACTTGATTACGTACATAACTACTAAAGATTCCCACCTCCTTTAAAGGTTTTTTTTTTCCCCTCTGCATCTTGGCAAGGATTGGAAGTCGACTTTGCTTTTTCTTGGAATTGTTTTAAAATGATCTGACATCCTTTGTACAAACATATGCTTTCTTGTAGACTGGACTCTGTTAGTGTTGCAACACTAAATGCAGTAACACAAATAGGGCAAAATTCCCAGTTATTCAGCAACTTCATGTACGTTACGGTGTAAAAGCCACTTGGTATGAAAGCGTCTGGTTGTATAGCACACTGATTTGTATCCTGGTGTCTTCTACCTGCAGTTGTACTTGGAGTCTAAGTGGTAGCTTGGCCCTACCAGGGCACGAATTCTTGCAATCCTGTGGAGAGACTGCAAGACAATTCCATTATGCTGACCACAGAAGCTGAACCAGCAGTCTTGTACCACTGCTCCACGCACACTCCAACCTGCTGAATAACTTAGCTGAGCATGGCTGTTCACCTCTGTTCAGCAGAGATTTGTGTTAAAACCATCATGAATGTGATAGTCCTGAAGACGTACAATGGAAAAATGATGACTGACAAGGGCCGGGGCAGAGATTCATTAGGCCCCGTTCACTTGCTGGAGTTGTGGTGAACAGGCGCCTTCCCACCCTCCTCCACAGCCTGTGCTTCAGGCTTGGTGTGTTCAAGGCACCCGGCAGAGCGAGGAAACCCGTGATGAGGGTTCTCGCCGGCCTCGGGAGGCGAGCTGCCTGCACCACAGAGCCGAGCCCTTGCGACAGCGAAGGGCATTCCCACTGCGGGGTG